CGCACGTTTCATTTTCTTTTCAGTGTTGCTCAACTTACGCACGAAAAACGCGGAAGGAAGGACGCGGCTGAAACCGGATCAGCGGTTACAGATGGGGGCAAACTGACAGCTGCAGAGCGCGCGGACGTACAGGACACGGAGGGGGCGGGGGCGAACCAGCGAGAGAAAAGAATCGCGCATGCCACAACGTCAGCTCGAGCTGAGGCCGGTCGCGCGAGCTGAACCGCGGTACACGCGTTCGGTGTCGCAAGCCGGAGGGCGACGAGAGGCCGATTCACCCGTGCGCGGGCGAAACGAGCATTCTCTTATTACGCCATTCGCCAGGGGGCGGAAGCACGTCTTGTTCGATTGACGCGCATCACCGCACTGTTTAGGCCATACACCCCCTTCGGCGGCGGTGGCGACGCTTGTGTACGCAACTTAGTCGTGTCAACTTGTGGCCAAACGAGAACAAGACAGCTCGCTCGATGAATTGAGACTTCTGCACAGTCAACATGTATCGACTTCACCTCAGCACGCTGCGTATGACTGTAGCCGATCTCACTGTAACCGAACTCACTAGGACGTTCGACGGGCACGTTTGACGTGCCGCGTTCTAGAGCCAACGTTAAATGGGTTAGTTTCCTTTCCTCGAAATCAATGTACAACCAACAGCTAATTGCGCGCACATTCGGAACCAAGGATTTCATTCTTCTTTTTATGTCGCAGTGAAACACGGCCAACTGGAGAATGATGAAGTATTAAATTAGATGAGTTGCGATCAGTTGCTGAAACTTACACATTACTTCGTGTCCTTTCTTGAAATGTGATATCGAGTGCCTTGGAATTGTGTTATATGAATTTGACACATTCCAGGACAGTCCATCATCAATCGCGCCTGACGGGAATATAGCTCGTTTCGGGCACGATCGCACAACGTGGATAAAGGTAAAATAAAATGACGCATAAAATTCCGTCACCACGCACGCGGTACATAGCGAGAGTCTTCGCAAAAATTTTGACTGCCTGCGGTTCTTTCTAACGTCCATCAAAATAGAAGTACAGTGTTTCCTTGCAATTCACCACTGCAGTACTAGTGGGTAGCACCCCCCCCCCCCCCCCCCGCAAATTTTTTTTTCGCCATGGCATACAGAACGAACAATGACCATTTTAAGGGGGTGGTCCATCCCCCCAAAATCAAAGAACCCCCCTCCCCCCTAAAAAAACTCCGACGACCTATATAACACGTCATCATGCATAGATAGCTAGCTCCGCGCGGTGGGTAATCACAAAATAAACTTGATCGTCATATGGTCATCGCATGGCGGCATCCTCACCTCTAGACAATTTTACATATAGTTATAAAGTCATGCATCTGACGCTAAGCGAGAATTTCCTATTAGCGTGTCACGTACCACTCCAATGTCTACGAACTGTACGTACTATACTCCGGAGATACATCGTTCCGCTGAATATATGCAAATTAAAAGGGTGAACGCGTCAGATAGGATGGCAGGCACACTCTGTTTTTAATTAAAATCCAACCCATTCCGAACACAGCGGTTCCGACTATTCCGTACGCGTCCTCGCAGTTTAACAATAGAAATAAAGGCAACTGTGCGACTTTTTCACTGCATAAACGTGAAACACACTGAAAATAAAGTCTAAAAATTTTGACGAAAAAAAAAAATGTTCCGACGGCCTTCTTTACGGTGGATGTTATGACAGAGAAAACGCACACGTGGGAAATCATATCCCGGCTGGTAACGCTTGTTACGCAGAACTGCAATATTTGCGGTATTCAACGTTGAAACAGTCCATAAAAACTCTCCCTGTCACACCTAAGTTGGCTAGGGTGCGCCTTTTCATTTACAGTAAAGAAAGCGCAAGAACATACTCCCGAGTCCTTTCCCTGTGGCGTGGCGCTGTTTTAATAACGCAAGAGATACGAGCTCGAGCACGGTAGAGATGATGCTTTGAGAAACGCAAGTAGAAAACACACACACACACGACCACATCCTGTGTCGCACAAGCATAAGGGGCCACCGCTCCCGGGCGCCGCGGCCTGCCAGCTCCTTCCTGTACACAGCGAAGTGCGTTGTGCCGTCGCCAGCCTTTGACGGCAGCCAAGGTTAAAGCCCGCCCTTACTGCAGGCGACGGTCGGAGCCGCTACACGTATCGAGAGAGCGTTGGCATTTGCGTTTTGTTTTTTCGTTCTTGCGCGGTGCTCCCGTGCTTCCCCCTCCCCGCATTGTCATCGCGTTGGCTCGGTTCAGCTGCTGACCCGAAAGACGCCGGTTGCGCCATTTGGATGGGGGCGAAATGCCAGAGGCCCGTGTACTGCGCTACGTCACCGCACGTTAAAAGAACACCAGGTGGCCTAACTTATCCGGTGCAATACACTGCAGCGTCTCTCGTGGTCATAGTCACCCTGGGACGTTAAACTTACTGAACCAACCCTTGTTATGGCCCAACGGCGGAGAAAAATATATAGCGTACCAAAGTCGGACCTGGAAATATAAAAGCTTAGAAGCCAGAGCAGTGGCAAGAGAACAGAACACCACAATCACATTGCGTTCCGAAAATTGCAAGCGGGCATCGTGCAGGATGCTCTCGCGCGTTGCCTTCAGAGATATGGGAACTCAAAACCAAGCTCGAAGGCTAAATAGGAGCACATGGACAACGAAATCGTTAACGCGTTTTTTTTTTCATTTCTGTAACCTATTCAAAAATAGAAATGGCAGAATTAAAAAGCTGAAATCTCGGCAATGAAAAATTAAAAGCTAGCAATGCATCAAAAACAAAAGAAACTGTTTAACATACGGCACTCTGTAGCATGCCACCAACGTGCAGGTAGGTAATTTCCCAAACCATTGTAACATGTGCACGTAAACTGCCAATTCATCCCGCTGCAGTAGCAGAAATTAGCGCTTAATAACCACGTGGCTAATTGCGAGCAAAAATAGAGTAGAATGTGCGCGAATTAGCTAGACTCTTTGGAGACTTCCGAATTGATTGGTCACGGTTTTTAACGTCTAAAGCAACGTTAATGAGAGACATCACAGTGAAGGACTCCAAATTAATGTCGGCCCCCTTTCTGGGAAACTTCGTTAACGTACATCTAAAACACTCTTCGTTAAGTCGGGAATTATACTCGCCACCTCCGGCTCTACGGCAGAGTACCGACCACGAACACTTTCAGTTGTTTTTTTTTTTTTTCGCACAACATGAAAGGCCCGACCCTCAAGAGCCTAAACAATGATGGTAAGCGTGAGCGCGCACTGAAGAATTAATTACGACATGTTCTTTAAAAAGTCCCTGCTTTGCCGCAAAGGCGAAGAAATGAACACGATAGCAACAAATTGGAAGGTCACGCGCAGAATGGCAAGCAGATCCAAACGTGCTCCGCGTTTCTCACGCACAAATGACGCACGAAACGTACTCACAGGTACAGATTAACGCGAATAAGCGTCTCGGATGTTACTTTGCTGTGTCTGAGAAGCGCGCCCTTTTTTGCAAACAGAGGCTGTGCAACGATTGGAGTGACCTTTGTGCCCCCCGTAACTACAACAGAATCATTCCAGTGAAAACCGAACGTCCGCCAAGACGTACGATCCTGTCCGCCACGAGATAAGGGAACGCGAGTGAGCGCAAACCCGCCTCCTCTCCTCACGGCAAAGTACGCATGGGAGATAAAAGCGCGCGCCGCCACGTCGTGACGATGTGGCGACGCGCGTTCATTGTGCCATCTTGCTGGCAATGCTGAAAACACGACAGGCATCTCGGGGGGGGGGGGGGGAATTCCGATTGATTAATATGTGGGGTTTAAACCACCATATGATTATGAGAGACGCCGTAGTGGAGGGCTCCGGAAATTTCAACCATTTGGGGTTCTTTAACGTGCACCCAAATCTGAGCACACGGGCCTACAACATTCCCGCCTCCATCGGAAATGCAGCCGCCGCAGCCGGGATTCGATCCCGCGACTTGCGGGTCAGCAGCCGAGTACCTTAGCCACTAGACCACCGCGGCGGGGCGGGGGAACCCCGAGATGCCCGTCAACAGCGGTAAGTGGTAGATATAGCTTGACGTTTGAACATTTTATGAGTCTGCACGGTGTCTCAGTGGTTAACGCCCCGCATTCACGATTCAGAGGTTCCACGTTCGACTCCGCGCACCGGTGTCTTTTTCCTTCTTTCGGTTACACACACACACACACACACACACACACACAGATATTATATATATATATATATATATATATATATATATATATATATATATATATATATATATATACACGGTGACGGCGACGCCGGCGGAAAAATCCAGCGGAGAGTGTCCATATAATTGCTATCGCAATAAAAGATAGTTTCTATCTATCTAGCTGTACTCTGATGTCACGGCACCAGCTTCGCACTCAAAACATCGTGACATTTTCGCGGCCGCTCCATTAGTGACACCAGGGGCCATTTTGAATTTTTCAAGCACTCACCATGTCCATCGTCGTCGTAGGCCCCCGGCGTGCCGAAACACAGGTGTCGTGCAGATAGCATACAGAATGCGCATATGGTTTACAAATAGACCCTACTTAGTCCGTCCGTCCATACGTGCGTGCGTCCGTACATCAGTCCTTTACATAAGTCGGTGACTTCAATGTACACCTTAGGACCTAGCGTCGCTCTATCATCAGCATTCACTTCGTGGATCGGCAGTAACTTTTCTTTTTTAGTACCTCCCGTCATCGAAACCAGCTACACTGGTGCGCGACGTCACCAGAATCGATATTGTTACCTGACGTCACAAACGTCACAATAGCGTCTATGTTTGTGGGCGCTCCATGAGAAAATTTTCTTCAGTGGAAAAAAAAGTAAGTATAGCAGCATTCACTGAGTTCCACATTTGCTGAGCCGTCCCGATATCGGGAGATTAGTATGACGCAGTAAACTAGACTTCGAAAATTCGAGTTAAGTGGCGTTAACAGGTGTCCTCGATAGATCACGAGTCACCAAACGAAATGTGAAGGAATGCTTTATAATTTTATTGCTCAGTAAAACGGATCAACACTTGACGCAAGTCAGATTTGGTAGATGCAAGGACTTCTGAGGTTGTGGTTCAGGTCGCTGGCCAGGAGCTCCAAGAGCAGGGTTAGTTACCGCCCCGGCAACCGCTAGCACAACCGCTAATACATGGTCACCAAATCTTGCTTCGTATAGCACTGTCAATCAGAGCCTTCTCTTCATTCGCCTATTTACAGATGAACCAGGCCAAGCCTGTCGCTAAAGGAGGTCGTAGTCGTCCCTCTGAAAAACATGAAAGAAAATTACATCGTGGAAGCAGAAAAATAGCGGGAGAAGCAAAAGCCCAACGTATCCACGTGGTACCGAGACAATTGTCTATTTACAGGCGATGAACCCGGTGCTCTCGAAAGCTATCCCCAAATAACATTTCCTGAAACTGACAGAAATGTTATATACATGTGAACATTATGAATTGTGTAAGAGTGTGATTTAGAATTACGTGAAAGTGCCCAAACGTGCACACACACACACACAAAAAAAGAGGCACGAATTAGAAACGAGCGCGAACCGTCAAGACAAAACGGAGCTAGCGGACACCGCAGAAAAACCCGTAAAAGATATTTTGCGGACACATTCGACAGTTTCTACCGAATGGTATGCTCTGTTTCGAGCGCTGCAAGGAATGACAAGCACAGTGTCGTGACGTAGGCACTCCAGCCGGGGTTCGACAGGACCATTCCATGCAGTCTGTTCATTCTTTTTAGCAATCAGACGCCGTCGACACCGGCTGCGGAGTAATCTATACAGCTATTCTGCCGATACTTCATTCTTCCCTCAAAGACCTTAACGCGATGCAATACAGGGGTAAAAGAACGAAAAAATGAGAGGAAAAAATAAGCGAGTATGTGGGTCAGATCGATGGCCGCAACACAGGTGCGCATGCGCGCCAAAACTATAGCCGCACTACTTCGCAGCGAACCCGTCTGTGCCACGGGCCGTCATCATCAGTTGCCAACAGCGGCGTCCACTTGTTGGTGCGGCCGCCTAGAGTGGGGCTGGCTCTCGGTCGCTGAAAGGGTCCACTCGAAAGAGAATTCCGTTTTATCTTTAATTGCTATGGCCGCGCATTAGTTTCGGAACTGACAGTCAAGGCTCGTTTATTGAACATTGCAGACAGAAATAAATTATGCCGCTTACGCTTTCTTTTTAAAATTGTGAAGAACCTTCTCAAAAGCGATACTCATCAATACTTAACGTATTTTTCTTCAGGTCATTCATCCCGCCACCGTCACTCGCTGAACTTAACCCCCTTCCAGCCGAAAATCAATGTCTTTAAGTATTCTTTTTTTTTTTCCAAGAACAGTGAATGAATGGAATAGCCTTGAAAGTCATGTTGTCGAGCAAACTGATATTAACAAATTTGAAAGCCTACTTGACTTTTAAACTTTTCTGTCTTGTTGATCAGTTGATACGTGTTCTGGTTCTCGGTGTATATTGCACTCGCCGGACAATAATGTGTACTCTTCTTTTTGCAGTGTGTGTTGTTGCAATGCGTGTATCGGTTTCTTCTTTTCTTTTTTTGTGCCCTTCGCAAGATCTTATTCACGCGCCCCTGTGAATTGGCAATCAGTTCAATCTGGTTTTTTTTTGTATGTTATGCGTTCGTTTTTGTCTGTTTTATTGTGAAATGTAGCACACGTTTCTTTCCACCCTGCTACGACCCCTTAACTGGGGTCAGCAGTATTGTAAATAAATAAGATAAATAAATAAATTCTTCCACACCACGACTGGCATAGCTTGCAACGGCGAAGCGCTTGCGCGTAATTACGGCTAGAAAATCATTCTTTCGGAAGCTGCACTCGACGAAACAGATTTTTCTGTTCCACGCACAGTCTTTCTCAAGCGTATACTGGCCGCGCTGCCAACTGTTTATATCCATTAACGTTGGTGCGAACGCTTCTAGCGACGAATGACGTCGTTGGAGTGGTGCATTTCAGAGGGCTCAGTCAACAGCATTACACTGTAAACACGACGCAAATAGATATGCTATACTGCCCCTAGAAGCAGTGGATTTTTTGTCTAGCGCAATATTTAAAGGGGCACTTAAGAGGTACATGCATTTTTTCGTGATTTCGCGAGATTGGCTCGACGAAATTTTCGAGAACTTCGAATGTTGATTGATTGATATGTGGGTTTAACGGCCCAAAACCACCATATGATTATGAGAGACACCGTAGCGGAACGCCCCGGAAATTTCGACCACCTGGGGTTCTTTAACGCGCACCCAAATCGGAGTACACAGGCTTACAGCATTTCCGCCTCCATCGTAAATGCGCCACCGCAGCCGGGATTAAATCCCGCATCCTGCGGAAACTTTAAATGTTAAGTCTATGGCACTAACAGATGATAATGTACACCCACTAGGTACCTTCAAAATCTGTGACGTCACAGTGTTTGGAGCGGGAACTTCAGGATGGTGTCTCCACCTTCTTTTTCTTTTCGCGCGTTTCCTAGCTTATCAAGCGTCATGTTGTAAGAGTGGTGTTTTCTGGATCGTGAAATTGTGCCTTACTAATACGCCAAAAAGCGTTTTAGTCTTTAGAGTCCCTTCAAAAACAGCAACTCTTAAGAGCCTGTAATGTGTCACGATTCCTCTCGACCCGTCCCTTGCACGTGCTTACACACTTTAACAATTTTGCTGGGTCCCTAAAAGTGTAAGTACATGCACCAAAAAAAAAGGTCAAATAAACTTCAAACTTCTTTCATTTTTTCGCCCTCGCACGAAGCTGCGCCTCCGGGATCGCTGAAAACGGCCACTGGATCAAATGACACGAGTGATGAGATATAGAAAAAAAGAATCGCCGGAAAATCATCCCCACATGGCACGGCCGCAGTTTGTTTGTTTTTTTAGATGAAGTACATACCATGTCGTTGTATTCAGCGACGTGCTTCTTGATGGCCGACGAATCGGTCCACGTCACGAAGTCCTCCAGCTGCCGGGACACTAAAAACGCGGGATCTGTGATCACGTCAGGTCCGACGCGAACATCTGGCACGTCGTCAAGGGAAGTTCAACATCGGCGCGCGGTCTCCGATTCAGTATGCCTTATACTATATACACAAGCAAGGGCCACACGGGCAAAAACGTGGACTCCTCGCCTGCGTTGTCGCTGCTCGTCCGTTCCAAGAGCAGCTCCGCTACACAGGAACGCCAAGTGCAATCAACGAAACGCAGTGTTCGGTACGAAATAAAGGGTCGGCAGCGCATGCTGCGGATAAGAAGCGAATGGAGGGACTGCGTACGCGGTACTGGCGCGATGTGTGGGAAAATTTCCGAATAATACGAAATGCACGAATGAGCAAACGATCTTACGGGTGGCAATCGCATAACGAGAGTAGAAAAACGGTCTGCGCGAAAGTGGCCGAAATTTCAAACAGAAGGTCACGCTCCCTCCCTCTCGAGGGAGTCGCGCTTTGAGCGAGATTCAAGGTGCATGCGTGCACAAATGCAGTTACACAAAACGCACTGTTTGTGGTGTAAAACGAGGACACGCTACGCCGCCACCGGAAATCCGCCGCGAAAAAAAAATGGGGGGGGGGGGGGGGGGCACCACAAACATGACGCGCACCCTCGGTTCCGGTAGACAAGCAGCGTAGGCGGGAAGGAACGCCGTGTCTCTTTAGACAGTGATGTATAAACTTTAAATGACGCAGAAACAAAAACACGCACTCTGTCTTGGGCAGCATTTGGTAGAGGATAGAATAACAATCGGAAAAAAAAACATTAAAAGCCCATGTCATTACGACAATTTCTTCTACCCCGCCCCTGAAGAAACAAAAAAGGGCGGGGGTTATTTCCAAAAGGAGAAAAAAAAATTACAGCGGAAACCAAGCACTGATGTTCATCATGCGTAGATCATCTCCTAAGGTGCACCCGCATTCGGCTGAACGGCAACTTGGCACTCAGTCAGCGTCGTGACAGCGTGCCAAGCGTCTCAACGCGCTGTTGACAGAACCTACCGTCAGTAAATTACAAAACAGGGCTAGCTTGCACGCGGGACATTCTCAAAGCCGTTCTCCTATGCCTCGTTAGGCATGGGCCAGTTACAATAGCGGGTAGCACATTGCGCTTCCATAATAGAGGCATATAGCTAGAGTTAAATCTAGCAGCCGGCACATATTTATGTTAATCCGTTGTAAACATGAACTGCACCGACGGTACTCGCGGTTGTAAAACCACACTCCGTCCTGCAGACGTTAGACATCCGGTAGGAGCAACATGGGGAGGCAGCAAAAGAAGCTCCACACGCATTTAATACTTCGAAATCCTGAAACGTCGCGCTAACGTGATGTAGCCACAGATCTGGGGCGAAGTTAGAAGCCACATTTTCCTTCCCTGTCGATGTATTGATCCTGCCTCGCCACCCTCCGAAAGCTTTCGGCACATAAGGTGGCACACCTCTTCAGCACAGCCTCCGTGCTCGGTACCTCTTTGATCAAGCTGCGAAGCCGCCTAACCACGTCATCACGCGGCGTTACGTCACGTGATGTCACAAATTTTGGCGATCCATGACGTCATTGCATGATGTTTTTTTTTTGCAGCACTCGCGTTGCCCCGACGCAATAATAATAATAATAATAATAATAATAATAAATAATATAATAATAATAATAATAATAATAATAATAATAATAATAATAAACTGCGATATTGAACTGGCGCTGTTGCTCTTATTGTGTCCGATAATCGAGAGTAACGTGTCAATGCAATGTTACACAGCGTTCACCAAGCCTTCAACGGCCACTGTCACCTCTCCTTTTCTGGCCGTTCAGTTAGCACTGGCGGTACAACAGTCTGGCGGAAAGGATACGGCCTTGCTCGACAAACTGCGTAGCCATCTTGACGCGCTGCGCCATCTGGTTTCGCACCATGATGACTGGAAGCCTTCTCCTGCAACAGATAAAAAAAAAAACACCGCACTCGATATAACCACCTAAGTATTCAATCTTACTACAAGTCACTATATGCCATCCGAGCGCCGACTTTTTCAAAACCAGCCACGTGCGTAGCGTTGCAAGAAATATGTCTCAATATCCTCAAGATTAGGAAAAAAATGCCACGTTCGCTCAATGTCTATAATGACTTCTTTACTAAGTTTCGTCGCTTTTATGTCGCGGGTAGCTACAATCTGGCGTAACAGAGAAGCGGCATTTATTGCGTTCCAGGCGCGATCAGTTACGACATCACCATCAGATTTCGTTAATGAATATCTCAAATGATGTGCAGCTTTAGCGATTAAAAAAAAATGGCTATGCCGTATATTGTGACGCACTACAACTTTCTAATATAGGCAACTGTCCTCGAGTTAACAATAGAATGAATGAGCTTTTGTTAACAATAGCCGCGCGAATGTCATTATTGCTACGATAAAGTATTCCCACCTCGTAATATACAGCGAGTTCATGCGCGAAAACAAGAAGAGCCTGACTGTCATGGTGTTCTTATTATAAATGAATATGTACTCTCTGAAAACGAGGCCACTCATATCTTTGAACTGGACGTTTGAGCATTCTTAATTCATAGGATTCGCTGCAACACGGTGTCGGAAAGCTAGCCTGCAAAACCAAGCCTACGCTGGTACCCCTAAAGACGGTTTCACTTATAAACACAAATGTAATTCTGGGAAGCCAGCCATCTCTCCAGGGACAAATCAAGTCGTTTTATGTCGAAAATCTTATATTGCTTGATGCTGCCCCACGCCGCGCGCGTGTTCTGGCAGAGCGTGGACTACCACTAAAGCCCGAAGAAACTATCCACTTGCTGACGGGCACGCACCACGAGCCACATTCAGCAATAATACTGCAATAATACTGAGGTGATAAGCCGTGAGTGAATTAGATACTGAAACTCGGGTTCTGTTGTAACGTATGTCCCTTTAATTAAGGCGCGCCAGTCAGAGCTTGTGCGCGGCTAGAACATGACGAATGGGAAGACCCAGTTTATGCGTCCGAGTTTATATAGATGGTCACAATGAGGAAACATAACTGGTGGTGAGTGAAATAATAAATCACCATGAAGTGAAAGATGGTGATGAAGCTAGCAGAAAAGTGACAGGCGGGACACTTAATGGCGAAGAGTTCGGTTGCCTCACTCAGCTTTACTTTTCACCGTGTAAACCGATCAACAGAATGAAAAAAAAAAATTTACACAACGTACCTGCAAAATGATGAAGCTGTCACTCTGTCGCATATCTCCAGGTTTTCCTTGATGGAAATGACGCCCAGGCTGTGCCTAAAAAGAGCATCCACAGGAGCATTTTTAGAACGACTGCATCGGCGTTACTATATACAGGTAAGGGCGAGTGAAAACATAACCATAACAAAGAAAGTGGGGGCGGAGGGTGCGGTTGAAACGCTTTAACAGACAGGTAGCGGAGCACCGGAAAAGTCAACAAAGCCGGCTACTGCTTAAAACTAGAGCAGTCTGTTCTCTGACCGCTGAACGACAGACTCGAAACTTTGGCAACAGTGAGTCCAGGTTATAGCGAACTCCGGAGTGGGCCCGGAAAAACAAACACGTGCGCACGTACTGCTTCATGGTTGCCTATACAGGACGGAAACAGCAACAACACCAAAAAGAAGTAATCGCCGCCTCCTGTCAGACGAGAAGGAAACGGTATAACATACGAAGAGAAAAAAACAACAACTATGAAGCCGATAGAAAAAAAAAAAAACGACGAACAAGACTAAACATGCGGCGTCGTAGTCTCATTAGGCAAGCTTTCGAATCTATTACACACGGCGTATACAACACTAAGACATCGGTACCGTCTTGCCCTTCAAAATAGAACAATATCTGTCTCCGCGGGCACTTGAACAACATGTAACGTGTAGTAACCATAAACATCCCGCAATAAAAACGCCACCTCCCATCCGCAGAGGAGCTGGCCATTGCCGTAAAGACATTTGCCAAACTCTATATATCGTACAACAGACATGTACAGAATACTGGAGTATATAAAGAAAAAAAAAAGTAGAATACAAAATGCCGAATTCAGTGCAGTACCACTTTGCTGCCTGTGGAGGCGCGACCTCTGCCAGTTCGATGCACTAGTTGGCAATGAAGAGACCACAAACACGGGCCTAAAGGTAAATTATTAGTTCTTGTTGCCTAAAGTACCTTCACAACACTTCTGGTAAAAAAAAAGCTACACACGACACCACTTTGGTAAAGGCACAGCGCCATCTTTAAAGATATAAACCTTTTTGCGAATACTCACTGAAGCAGAAACCCAGCGCATGCAATTTCGGCGGATCGTTGAACTTAGCTTTATGAAAAACTATAGCAAGAATGACTATACCATAATTATACGATAACTTACATTTTATTTACAACAAAACTGCTGTAAAATACAGAGCAAACTATTCTAACACCCCCACCTGGTTTATGTTTGGTTTGTATATGAATTTAGCACTAAACTTAACGCATTTTAAGCTTTTGGAGGCCACGTCGCAAAGACGTACAACGAGTTCTATACCCGGAAAAAGCATGACTTTGACGATACTCCCAAGAAACATTCTCTTATAAGATTCGAAACGAAGTACAACAAAACTTTACCGTAAAGAAAAAAAGTTTCACTGGCCTTGCCAAGCGACAGCTACGTTTTATACGCAGAAAAAATTCGCGAAGCAGCTGTGGTTTCGCTTGTCTCGTTTTTTTTTTCTTCTTCCACCTTTTCTTTCCTTTTTTGCAAAGGTATACACAGAGAGGACATTGGATCCAGCTGACTGGCGCCGACTCCGCGAAGGGTACAAATTAATCACGCTCTGCTGCAGTGCTCTGTTTCTTTCGTTGTCTCGTAGCGGCGACATTGTCTGTGTGTGTCTGTACGTGCGTGAGTTGCTTTATATGTTGTACTTTGACCGGGATTACACACAGCGCAGCCCTATAAAGTAAATGTGTACGCACACCTGCACACCTGTGAGGATTTGATTGTATAAGCCTCTCAGACTGCTTACGTTGAACAAAGGAACCGCGCCTGTCGCGGCCAGACGGGTTAGTTTTGGGGCTTTTCTGTTAAAAAGATTGGGGTTTCTTTCCGAGCATTTAAAGTACCGGGTACAAGTTATATGGTATATACTAGCATATATATGTTACACCAAAAATGTTCTGCTCTCACAGTAACTTGAGTAAGTACTTAACATGTGTACAAGTCAGCTGTACACCAGTAATTACTATTTTAGGCGAAACACCATGCCTAACGCGGGGCATCCGCGATGGCTGGTTGTTGACCACAAAAATACGGTTCTCGCTGCCGAATTTCCCGCAACCTTTCGAAAAAAAGCAAAAAAAAAAAAAGCGAGATAGCCGACTTTCGAACCACGGTTCTCGGGCTGGCTTTCCCGCATGCTCCAGTGAGGTGCTAGAAAGCCGACTTTTAGACTCAACGATGTCTGTGAGAAACGAAGTCGGCACGCCCGCACACACACAGTGAGAGGCAGAGAAATGCGCGGGGGCTCACGTTTCGTTCCCCGAAAACGAAGCGATAAAAGCGCGAAGCCTGCGAGGAGTCCCACAGATTACAGACACGGGATTCAAACGAAAAGGAGTAGTCGACAAATCCATCGAGTTGACCTCAACGCGCGCAGAATGGACGCACACACGCAAGCACTTGTGCCCAAGTGACAAGAAGAGCAAACTATGGTTTACTGCACCACCGCATCTCAAGCTTATTATGTCTGGCGCGCCACGATCAAGATTGAGATTTCAATAATAATAATAATAATAATAATAATAATAATAATAATAATAATAATATAATAATAATAATAATAATAATAATAATAATAATAATATAGCTGCAAGTTTAGTCCGAAGGCCACAGAATTGAGAGCGATAACAAAACAAAAGGGAACAGTAAGCTTACTCGAAAGGTTACCAGCCGATCATGGCACTAGACTGACAAAATTATTTGAGCTGGAAAGCGCGTCGCGGAGCGGTGCCCAGGATGAGGCAAATATCACCGTGTACGGCAGAGTTCCCCGCCGATCCATTTCGACCAGCGGTCGTTCAGCGGCGTGATCGAGTATACCGAACACGCGCTTGCTGCTGCGTCTTCCAAGTATCCCGCGTGGGAAAAAGGCAAGCGGGATTTAAAAAACGCGCGACCAACAACCTCGGTGGCGCGCGGTAACTAAACACGGCCATCTGCACAGGAGCACGCCGCCATATGCGCAAGAGCTCGACGCACGCGCCACTCTTCGCAACGGCACAAACGTCGCTTAACTGCAAACGCGACACCCACAGTTCCACGACTACGGGCGACAGATTTCGGGCGACTCCCGAAACCGCACCACCCACCCAAAATCCCGGAGTCCACGCGCTCTCCAAGAGCCCGACCTCGCCCGGTTACCCCCGGTTGAAAGGGATCCGCCGAGCAGTCGAGAGCGTGATTTCAACACACAGTTAGTTAGCGCTGGCTTTATGCAACATTTTCCACGCCTCCCCCGTGACCCCCGTTTTCGGCTTACATCCCGGGCGCTCAACCAGGCCCGCGCCGCGAGGCCGAAGCACCGAGGGCAGCAGACAAAAATAAACTCCAGAGCGTGAGAACAGACCGGCCGCGAAGCCCGCTGATCAATGAAAGCCGGCACCGCAGTGGCAACAGAACCGAATGGGGCGCGCCACGCAGCCATATGGCACGGCCCCGTGCACCTGTGCGCGCCATGCTCGGACCCCCCCCTGGCCGGTGTAATGAAGTGGTGTTGTTCGAAGTGCGACCGACGGTCCAGATGCACACGATGCCGGTGGGAAACTGGCGCGCGCTCCGCGGACCGCAAGGTGACGCGAGACAAAACGTCAGAGAACCACGCGGCCAATGTGCACTATCAACCCCCCCCCCCCTCTCTCCCATACACCTTCCCTAATGAGATCACGACGCAATATGTACTTCCCGCTTTTCGCGAGTCGAATGAATCATGACGGCACTGCCTCTTCGGAGAAGGGTATTCAAACGGAATGGAGCATCTTGACGGGAACCATAAATTGAATGTGGGCGGGCCGCTGCTGCAAAGTTTAAATAATTTAGAAATGTGGCGGCTCAGTGGTAGGTCATGATGATTGTTACAGCTCGAGCTCAGGACGCCTTCGTGTATCTTTTTGTCCCTGTACTGAGTTCGCGCCATAACAATCATTCGAGTGGATCATGGCGTAGTAAAACGTCTGTGCACTACAGTCAACGTCGCGGACATCGGAATCACAAAACAAAAAAGAAGGGTGGTTAGTTCATTACATCTTATAATGCAATAATCGAACTTTTCAATGACTTAACCGCATTTTCGGTGCAAACTTCAGTGCGCAAGTTGGCTGCACAGCACTGTTTCACGATAATGCAAGGGATGCGGTTACACGGCGGTTTTTCGAACTTATCCTCGATTGGCAGTTTGGCGCACGGGTCATGGCAGAAGCCTTGCACGCGATAAAATGCGGCACCAATGTAAACAATGCTTCAATATCTTCATGCGCAGCTCTGCGTACAGGGGTACCCTGAAGCTTCTATAGTCAGCCTCGGCACAGCTCGCGATTTTAAATGCCCGCGGGACTTTAGTTTAGTCTTAATCTTTCCCGTCCCCGTTTTCCTGTCGCGCTAATGTTCGTTCAAGATGCGTGTGGGGCGGGGAAAGTCAACTTCTTGGAACGTTTCATGCCGCCCGACGTATGAAGTGTTGACCTCGCGGCAGATGACTTTAAAGCGTTGCAGTGTTCGAAAACAGTTCGACAAAAAAAAGATGCTTAGAGGACAGTACGAAAAAAATGGCAGCATATCCACGGAGTGAATGATGGATAGTGAGGCGAAGCATCCGTCCGTCCATTCGTTCTTGCTTCCGTCCATCCATGCGTGCGTCTGTGTGGCCGCCCGTGCGTACATCCGCCCGTCCGTGCGTCTGTTCGTGCGTCCGTCCCTGCGTTCGTCCATGCATGCGCCCCTGCGTCCGTTCATGCGTCCATCCATGCATCTGTCTGCATGTCCGTTCGTCCACCTATTCAACCCTCCAAGTACCACCATCTCGCATCTTTTCATCATTTGTTCCCCATATAGAAGCACCGCCATCCAGCGGATATTCCAAGGACTGAACGAGAGGAGACACACGCACACTTTCTTACGGCTTGCGCTTCGTGTCTACTTCCCACCTTTAACCACCTCGAGTTCATGGTATATACTAGTTCACTGTATTCATGGCACTGCGGCCCAGCGCTCGCTAAACCTTTCTAAAACCTAAGAGGTTACGCCC